CTTCAAACTTTTCAATATGTTCACTCGGAGTCCGACAATCCCTCAAGAGGTTCGATGAAGGGCATTTATTGTTTTTATGAATAATTAATTGAACTAAGGAATGCGTAATTCACACCTTGTGGTTGCATGTACTACGTGCGCTAAACCTCCATCCACCGTTATGTATCGTGTGATCTCATAGCTTAACTGGTTAGGGGTGTGCTTCCACGTGCTCGAAACTGGGGTTCTATTCCCGGGCAGGGTCATACTGATACCCTGTATATATACTACGTGCGCTATAGTATAGCTATACCTCTTTGCACCGTTGTGCGATACCGCAGTGGCATTCTTCCAACGTTGAGGATTCTTAAGTCTGTAAGTGCGTGAGACATTGTGTCTGCGTGCAGTCAGCCTGTTTGCGCGTTGCGTGAAGCAGAGGCTGAGTAGTTGTTGTTGGCAAGCTCAGTAGTTGAGTGTACTAAACTCTGGACCGCTACAGAGTTCCTGGTTCACTTACTGCACTGTTGAGGTACGCAACTGACGTCTAGTTACGGTGCAAGCACGTTACGTTGGTCAGAAGGTAGCTTGTATATCCAGTAGTTCAGACCTTGAGTTGATAGTAGTCATGGTTCTAACGCGAAGTGGAGCACGTAGTGAGGCCGCTCATATATCAGAGGGTGTTCGCCGTTCTCCGAGACTTATTCACAAGTGCACTGAGGATACGTCACGCGTCAGTACAAGGCAGAGTCCGTCGGTTCGATCAACTAGTACTTGGGGTTGTAAGGCTCGCGGTATCAACGCAGCCAGCGTGGGCAAGGGTTCGGTTGTGGTTACACCATCCACAAGTTCTATTCCTTCGGGTAATAGTGCCGTCCCCAATCGCCCACACGCACACCGTCTTATATTGTATAATCTCACAGCTCAACTGGTCAAGGATACACTTTCGCTTGATCAAAGCTGAGGTTCTATCCCCCGGCACGGTCATTCTAAGCACCTAAGCCGTCGCAAGCAGCAGAGGAGGTTTACCGTGGCGCGCGCTGAAGTCGTGAATCAAGGTCGAGGATCAGAATCAGGGTTTGGTACCGGGGGTCCGGACCCCCGGTACGAATCAAGGCAAAATAACGTGGAAAAATGGAGATACTCACGGCGTGAGTATGATTCGGAATCACACGCTGAGTAAAAATCTGATTCTGAATCTTTGGCGTTCTCGAGTTGAGTAAAATACTCACGAGTAAGAGTTTTGAATCACAATCACGTTGAAAAAATCTAGAATCATGATTCTTACTCACTCTCGTATTTTTGGGTTGAGTAAATACTCTGACTCGTTGATTCACAATCAGAATCAATGGCTGAGTATGATTCTGAATCAGGAATCATGATTCTGAATCAGGAATCATGATTCTGAATCAAGAATCGAAATCAACGCTTGAGAGAAATCAGGAATCAGGAATCGTACTCGCGAATCCTGAATCTGAACCTGGAATCAGTAATCATACTCACGGATCATGAATCTTACTCATGAATACGGAATCTGAATCAAGACTTGTGAATCATGGTGCGAGTCGAATCAAAATCGGAAATCAGATAGTGAGTTGAATCAGTGCCTGTGATTCTCGAATCAGTATCCGCATACCGCCCCTGATCATACATGTTGGCAGTTCACAATTTTGTCATTGCTATAGCGGGACGGGAAATGTTCATGCATTCGGGGCGAATTTACCAAGTTCTACGCTCGCAAATTGACATTTTCCTCCTTTCTTGAAAATGTCACTTTCGGATGTGGGGCGTAGCGACTGTATTCTTCGTCTTGTCAAAAATGTCTGATCCAAACTCTGATTCCCTGATTCTCGAAAATACTCAGATTCAATGGAATCACCCGAAAAATCAGGCTCACGAGCAAGGCATATTGAGTGAGAGTATTAATCAGGCAAAAAATCAAGTTTGGATTCGCGAATCAGCTCGGAGATTCACATATCATCGCGATGATCCTGATTTCTCGCTCCAGAGTAAAAAATCAGCGAATCAGGGGTTATTACTCACCATCTGATTTTTCATCTGAGTAAATACTCTGACTCACCTGTTGCATCAGGATCCGCATACGGCCCCAGATGTGAGACACACGGGACAACGACATGAAAAGGATCGATTGACAGACTGACTTTTCTAACGGTTTCTGAATGGGCATTACCCGTGGGTAATACCCATGGCGTCCCCGCCCTTGCCCATTGGGCAGCACTGCTGCCGCAGCAGGAGATGGATGAATAAGAGAGGCTTCGACGGGAAGAATCCTATCATCTCAATCGATCATGCCATGAAGACTCCACCACCGATCCGCCATGAAACTCAAAGCATTCACTGTTTTCAGGCGGGTACTGCTACTGCAGCAACGGGAAGGATCCGTACGGTGAGACGACGAATCATACAAGAGTTGCATCTTTTTGCTCCTCTGTAGATTCGCCGGCAGGATGGAAGAGCAGCAGTGTATTCATCTAGAGGTACAGCATATCCCATGCGAATGTGTGGATTCATCGTCTAGGTCTAGGACTCCAAGATGACGTCTAGGTCGGAGTCTCCGACCGGAGAATCCAAGCTAGTGAGTATACCATGAACTGTGTATCGGATACTTCTTGTTGCGAATTCATTCATACCGTATGAGTCATACGACTTGTGAGTTACAAGTTCTGACCTGATTGTTGCGGATTTGAGCACTTGATAAAAACACAATGAATGCATTGTTCAACATAAACTCATTGTTCAGTGAACAATGTTCACGCATGTTGAAGTCAACAATGTTGACTCAACATGCTACGCTATAGGCTATAGCATCTAGAGGCCGATGACAGCCTCCTTCACTGATGCTCCCGCAACTTCTTGGATCTTGTATGTGAATATGTATAATGAAGGATTAAAACATAGTGATGGTGATCGATAATTTGGACTCGCAAGCTTTCGAGTGTCAGTCGCCGTCCCTCACCTTCCTAGCTCGATGTCGATCTCCTTCCACTCCGGGATTTTGTCCACGAGTTTCTTCATCAGGTGGATCTGTACGCCGCTGGCGATCAGTGCGATTATATTGATCGCCAGAAGGATTCCGAACAGTTCTACTGGCCAGCCCGCGCCAGCCGCACAAACGCTATTAGTCGGCGATTCTTCGGCAGACTACGGAGCACTGAGGAGTCCTCAGTCCTCAGTGAGGACGAGACAAATAAAATTGATACGAGGAGCCTCCACCGCTCATTCATTAGGATACCAACTGTGGCAGATATGGATCCTGGATCATCCAGCACGATGCTTGACAGGTTCACACCAGCCGCGGTCGGCGTGAGAGCCATTGGAGGCTCGATAGTGATCTTAGTCCAGTCGATCTCACCGAGTGCCACAGCAGCAATGACGAGGATACTTGCGGCGATTTGCATAGGAAGGTGTAAGTATAGCTACGGGAGGTGAGTTGCAATGATAATCTGAATTATATGGCAGCCCCGCGCGACCGTCCTCCTTGCTTTTGCGACCTGTAATGCACGATTCGTGCAAGTCACAGCAGATAAGTGCTACCAAGGCTCCAAGATGCACGGTGCTCAATTTCCGTGCTGCGGTGGGCCTCCTGATTGTGAAAACATTGATATTCAACAATGCTGAATCAACATTCTCTCTGAAAATGCCTCTACCGTTCTCGACGGGGAGTCGGACTCTTGGAACAGCAAGTAATCCCCAGAAGTTCTGAGGAATACTTGCAGGTACTTACCGGAACGGTTTTGGGCCAGAACCGTGCAGTACAACATCCGTTCCTGGCTATTATTCATCTATGACAGGACATATGACATTCATTCTTATTTTGTTGACAAACGGGCGCCATTATCAATTATGAATCCTTATTCATAATTGGAAGTTGACATTTATAATGTCTAATTTTGCTATGTCATGCTTGCACCGAAGACATTTTCTTGGTTTCTTCGAAACGTATTGCATTCAAGACTCGCCCAAGAGGTAGTAGATAGCACTGATGAGCAACTTGATTTCTGCTATTCACGGTCTGCTCCTCACTGCTTGGGGATGACTTGCCATGAATAGTTTTCACAACTGAGAAGCGTGCATTGCGTTACAGTGACTCACCACTGGTGAGTCACCAGGAGAATCCCTCAGCGACCTTGGAGGGTGTGTCACTTTATTCGGACCCCGGTGACGGGAAACGCCATACCGCGTGGGAAGAAGGCTATAGTGATCAGCTTGTGGTCTACACTGCGGACTTGTTAGCGCTGCAGTGCAGCCGCTATTCACCGTCTGTATTGACGGACTCTATACTACAGAACCCAAGTTTATTTTTCATCTCAATCTCTTCGACTACTCTCGTAGTCTACACGAGGCATCATGCTACCTTGACGGCGAGTCGTGTAATGACGCCGCTACCGCCGCACTTGAGGTCTCGAGTCCGCTCGGTGCCGCCACCAACGGAGAAATTTGCGGGATCGGTCAAGGCGGAGTTTCCTGAAGATTACATTACGCCGAGGAGTATGTGGGGAGTTCGAGATGTTGCGACTTCTCGACGTAATATTGCAACGGTATGGGCAGCAGAATCGAGATTTCGGAAGCAGGGGCCGTATGACTGAAAGTTTCTGTCAGAAACTGACCTTTACGAGTAATACGGGGGATCTGTTCTGGATTCATTGCGGTGCTCTGAATTCAGGAAGTATCGGGAGTATTCGCCGCGCGAATACTTCCGAAAGATGCTCATTCTGTTTCGAGATCAGTGGACTTTTCATGTCCAAGGTTGAAGATTTCTTCCGGAGAGGCAGCAGTTCTGACGAATACCATTCGTCGAATAGGGTTCAACGCAATGTGGCGCAGCTCATACGAGTCGTATGATACGACGGCACATTGTCAGGATTTGTGTACACCATGCGCCGTTCCCAGAGGTGTGTTTGTGCTCGTGGCACGAGCCCAGGTATGGGATACGGGTGATTCCTGATTTTGTGGACCAGGACGACCCTTTGGAGAGTGGAGAAGGTCCTCTAGCAGCTCAGTCAATGTCAACTGTAGGCCTCGTACCGGCTACCCCGAAGGATCTTCAAACCATCATGAGGTCTCCAAGTGATTTTATGGTCGTTAGAGAGGGAGTGTCGCGGTAGGATTCGGTCGTTTATTCGCGTCAGATTTGTGGCAACTCCCAAGTTTTGCGAGCGCAAGACTGGTCCGTTGACGAGATCGCCGATTTTACTTCATGGTGTAAAATACGGCTCGATCAAGGCGTGCTTCCAGAGGCAAGTAGGAGAGCTGGCATCTTGAGTCTGTCTATTACCGGGTCTTTCCAGGATGTCAGAGGCTTTTCTGACCGTGTATGCGACCATCTCGGGGATGTATCACATCGTGATATTGTTCGTTTCGTCAGTGCTGTTGGTGACAGTAGTACATGTGAGGATGAGTTTTGGATGTATATAATGGCTAAAAGGATACAGGTAGTACTCATCAATGATGAATACTACCTGTATCCTTTTAGCCGGGTGATCCTTTTAGCATCAATGATGAATCATCATCATGGGGACATTAGTAATATCTGACGACAGCTTCGACGCGATGTATTTTCCGGTATCCAGCGGGTTTCATTTGGACGTAGCAGCCATTTTGCGGATGATGGGCTGCCACTACGAAATCGAGGTAGTTTAACTGGTTGGGCTGTCTTCCAGGTTATCGTTGGTTGACTATGTAGCATTTTAGGACAAGGTCATGCCCTTCATACTGGACGTCACTATAACCGCGAACCAGGCAGCTCGGGTAAACTCACAAGAGGCTGCTCGTGATGGCTTCGAGAAAGAAGAGCGAGCTAGTCGCGTGGTGGAGTGGTTGAAAGCTCATTGCAGCGTGCAGTTGGCAGCGGTTGCAGCGTGTTAAGATCATGCTCATACTTACTGTCAGTTTCGGGATCCAGAGTTTCGGCCCACCTCCCGAAACTTTCGGGAGGTCTGCTGGCCTTGAGTTCTTAAAACTCAGTTCTGTCGGAGAGTCCGTATGTCCATCGATCCTTTTCATGCGGTGATCTCGATGAACGCCGAAGTCACAGCTGATCATTCGTGTTGGCATCTATTCGTGGTATTGCGTAGGTAGCGTAGGTATCGTGCATTTTGCCTAGGAGCATGAGTTGATCTCAGTCTGAGATTCTCAGATGGTTATTGTGCTTCGGCTACCGATTCGTCACATGCCAAGATGCATCTTGGGGGGCGGTCGCTGACTCAGCGCAACATACGAATTGATGGTCAAGTCCGAATTCAACTGATGTGTGTTTTTAACGCAATAGGTTCACTTTTACAACTTCCCATTCCAGCATGCAATGGTAGACATGTTAGAGGCCAATTGACACGTCCTTTATACACGCCACGTCTGTTCTATGGCTGTATCTGAGACTCATGACTATTACAGGTTGTTACTTGCATCACTGATGATCAGAGAGTTGTTCACGGCTACGTTTCCCTACCTGTTTCCACGTTCCAGATCCACATTCTCCAACGTCGACGTGGATGTCCGCCCTAACAGCCTCTTGAGCAGCCACAACTGGACGCAGCTAGCGAGGAGGCCGACCACAGCTGCGCCCAGGACGACCCCCAGTAGGGTGGTTGAGCAACCACATGTACTAGAGTCGTTGGGAGGCGACTTGTTGTCGGACGTCGCAGTCCTGAAGGAAAATCAGAAGATTACGAAGATCGCCAAGTGAAGAGTAAACTTACTTATTATTGTTCGGCTGCTCCGTCGCTGTACTCCCCTGGTCTTCAGGAGTGTCGTTGGACCAGTCCGGATTGCCCCCAGTGGTCGTGCTCACGGGAGCCTCCAAGCTGACACCACTCCAGTTCACCTGGCTTCCGCCGGTCGCCGGATCGATTGGAGGCTCAATAGTGATACCGCTCCAATCAATCGGGCTCCCGGCAGTCGTCGGTTCCACTGGGGGGTCGAGGACTATCCCGCTTAGGTCCAGCTGATCGCCGGCTGGAGCCATACCCACTGGGGGATCCAGAGTGATGCTACTCCAGTCGAGTTGACCAGTGCCGGAGCTCGCAAGGACGATAATTGTTATAATGGGATACATTTGTTATCAGGATAATACTGAAATTCGAAGCAAATGTTCCCGATTTACTCGAGAAGGAGATTAGAGCGATCACAATGACTCGGAAATGAATGTTCGTGCAAAAAGGCAGCATCAGTGGTCAAGACGCGCTGAGTTGTCAAGGGATGCGTCGCTCGAATTCCACTCATTACAGTGGTCCTCAGCCGGTGCATGTTGCTCCGGCATATTTCGGTCGGCCTACTGGAGGATCGTTGAGCCCGGCTCAATGTCGCAGGCTCGCAGCCGTCATCTGCATGCTCATTATATTCCGAGTCTATATTAAGCCTCCGAATTCTGTGAGTCTTGGGTTGTTCGAACATTAATAACCCTGCGACGGGAGTACGTGTATCAAGCGGCGAGTGCGTGCTAGCGGAGCGATCGATGTCATATTTGTGGAAAAGGGACTGGCTGCAATGGGGAAGTCCTTCAGACTATCAGACTTGGTGCAGTGAACCCGAACCGCAGATGTGTGAGTTAGTTTCCCGCTCGGGACTTCAATTTCGGCTCTCATTCGATGCTATCCGTCTCGAGTCCTCTTTTTCGGACCAAGTCGCAACGGATCGTAAGTATCCGTTCCACTTTTAGAGAACATCGTGCATGTGGTTCGCGTGGTTTCATGCGTGTTTCAGACGGTTATTATGTATTCAGCAGCACAGACGGGATATCGCTTTGTCACGGACAAGTCACCCACCAAGAAGGACTTGAGAATGGCGCTGAGGAAGCACGACCCTATAGCCAACAAACATGTGTAATGCAGGTTTTCCCGATCCTCTGCCTGCCACTGGATAGCAGTTCTTTCCTAGCATTCCGTTGATCCTTTTTTTCGGTCAGTATGTTTTATGAGGGTAAATTGGTACCTCAACCTAAGCAGTGGAAGAATAAGGCTCGAGATCGATGGAACCGGCTGGTGGGTAGAGCGTTAGAGCCCCAAATCAAAACAGCTAAGGGTCAGCTGCTGAGGAAGGAAGGTGTCCTATGATGTTCACGTGTTTCTGGACATTACTATCGCCGTCGTGTTGACCTTCAAGCTATACGGCTCCACTACGTCCAGTGATGCTGACACCAATACAAGGATCACTGCTACTGCCGTCAAATGAATACTGAGGTCTCTCGCTCAAATTATTGGTGCTCTTTTCAGAGCAGATGGTTCTCTGAGATGTCTCAGGAGTAGTATGACCCGATGTCTCTGAGTTAAGTTATGTTTCTCTTATGAGTGATGCATCGTCGAGAGCTACGGAAGAGGATCTTTTCCCTAAGCCTAACCCGGATCTTCCCGTCGCCGCTGCATTTAGACAGGAGAACTACTTAACTCGTAGTCGACCAGACGGGTTGAGAGTGGGCAATGATGTTATCGAGCTGTCCGATGAGAAGGAACCAAGCGATGGAGGAGCTACTAATTCTCAGAAGGGCTCGGACGAACAGGAATACAAAGATGGTAGTGAGGGGGCTTCAGGTTGTTGTCGGCTTAACCTACAGTACATGACGCACTTAATTAAACTCACAAGGAATAGCCAAAAAAGGAACCTCTCCGAGAGTACTAGGATTGGATAACACGACTGGGAGGTGAAAAAAAATTCGTAAAGTCACTGATATCTCGACAGTATCTCGTGTTGGGTGTTTCGGACCTTATTTGAGTATTGCTGTCGTTCTTCTTAGCTCGGCTACCCCGTGTGAGTGACAATGTTCAGCCATCTGTAGTAGCCGTTCAATACGATTCTGAGTATTGGCTGTCCATGGTGGAGAGACTAGGTTATGACCAAGCAGTG